ATGGTAAAATATAGCCATGTTTTATCGAAAAAAAATCTTTAAAAAGTACCTCTTAAAGTATTATTGTTTGTGTAATTACATTTAAAAGGGCTTTAGGAATCACTTAAACACCATTTCATACAGGTAGTTAGTTTCTTTCTTTTTTTCCAAAGTAATTATCGTTATTTTTATGAAAAAAAAACAGCTTTCGGGCTGAAGCCCTCCCCCAAAATGAAATCCTGTATCCGCTAGTGGTCTGTGTGTATGTTAGTAGTCTAGCTGGAAATCGAAAAATCGTGCGAAAGTGAAATTGCATATTTAAGGTTTGTATATGCCTAGGATGTTACAGCAACTTTTTCGTCATAATCGGCTTACCGGAAGTAGCACTTAATATTGTCGATTTAAGACATTTTTACGAGTTTCTCCAGAACGGCTCAAACGATTTTGATTAAATTCATTATATAAGTGTAAAATTAAGCAATTTTTAATGTAATGTAGATTTATTATCATTGAAGTTCTCTAACAGGGCTAAAATAGCTAATTTTCAATATTAGCTTCCTCAAAAGTGCCTTTAATTTTTTTATTTGTAATAATTAACCATTTCAAATTAATCTTTGATATAAAAAATAGATAAATGTAAAAATAGTGAGGTAATAGTTGTAATGGAGGAGCCAAAGGAATACGAGCTCGCCTGAAAAACATGAGCTTAATATAATACGGACTCCAACAATATTATGTACATATACACATGCGGTCTTCATAAATGCTATCGTTGGTATTATTTAATATTTAATTGTATATATTACAGCGAAGTAAAATTTGTATATAGAAGGATACTTAAGCCAATAAAAATATCCATAATGGAATGTAAATAAATATAGATTCTATAATTTTTTACTTTCATTTCTCCTTTGTCTAAAAATACTTATTTCTGCTAAGAAGAGGTTGGTAAGTGAAAGGTATGTGATACGTGCACCAGATGTTTTATTTAGTAGGCGCAATCTATTTCAATGTAGGAGTATTACAGCGGAGACAAGAATTCCTTAAATTAAAATTTACGTGACTACAGGAAAAATACTTATTGTTTTTATACAATAGTATTGTTATAAGACAAGGGAGGAAGAGGAGAATAAATAGCATTTTGTGCAAAAGTTTAACAATTTAACACTCCTCAAAAAACAATCAGAAAAATGGGTATAAGTTAAGATATAGCTATTTTTGATCAATTACAAGTTTACAATATTCTTAACATTTAATTGTAGAACTTTTTTTTTACTACGAAACCACTTATACAAGTTTATACTCCCCCAGTTTTCCGTAAATTATCATTTCCATTGTGATTCTCTGTGTTCCGTGAAAAGGACGGTAACTTCTCCTAAGTTTCAAAATGGCCTTTATAGCTTACAAAAGGCATAAGCTCATAAAAAGGAAAAGAATCATATAAGAACACCAGAAGCAGAAAAAAAGAAAGGAAAGAATTGTTGAAAGTGGCAGTAGGCGTACTCATGTGTACTTAATAAATGACATAATTATTATTGAAATTTTACGTAATTGCTAAATGATATGCTGTTATCACAAAACTGAAAAAAGCGAAATGTAAAATCATGCAGCTACTGATAAACAAATACAATAGTGACGGGAACATTGCACTGAGGTGCCCATCACCCCAAGGTCGATGGCCCACGAATCTACTCCCTCCTCTCCCAAGATATTTTATTGCACACCTTTTCTTCAAAACAGAACAAAGGAAAGTAGAATTCGACAAATCTTAGATCATATACAATTACACTGCAGTCTGTTCCATGTTTCCCCTTGTTATTCTGAAAGTTCTATTCCTAAAATTCATAACTCTGTTGAAATGTGGCCCTCTCATAAATCAAAAACCCTTCATAATATACTCTACAAAAATTTTTATGGCGCAATTTTCGCCACCACCTTCTTTGCACCCCTGACACTGCCATAATCTAATGGTGGGGGAGGTTACATTTCGGCGTCTTTAATTAGCTATCCAGTTCCTATTATTACCTATTAAACTACCAGGTTGCTAACTCAAAGGGAAAGTGGTGGGGAAGGGCTTCAAGCTCTTGCGTAATCACTAGACCTATACCCCTCCGGCCCTCGTTTTAAGATTATTATTTACTTTTCTACATGAAATCAACGCTTTAACATAGTGGGCGGGGTGGCCGAATGGGCTAAAGCGTGTGCACTGCACAGCCGTTGCCCGGCAACCTGACATATGAATCAAAGATATAAAAATAGTCACGAGTTCGCGTCCCGGTGCCGGGGGAGTCTTTTAAATCCCCGCCCACACCCCCTGGCCCGGGAAAATCCCGTATAGCCTTAACGGCGAAGAAGGGAAGGACCCCAAAAAAAAAAAAAACGCTTTAACATATAATAATTTAGTAATATTAATAAATTTAAAAAGTGAGAGAGAGGTTCATTTGCTATTTTGTTTATTCTCAAGTAAATAAATCGTAATTTAACAAGTTAATGTATCTATATTTTTTTTCACAAATGCAAAGTAGCAGCTAGTTGCAAGAACCACTGGATCTAGAAAGATGAGTCGTGAATAAACATTACTTGCAGTACTGGAATGCATAGGCATTGTTATGGTGGAACACGCCACCCCCCCCCCTCCTCAATCATTTGAAATGGTCCCATTCCTCCCTACCAATAATTTTAATGGTTCGTAAGTTTATGTATGGTAAAATAAATTGTAATCTTACCTATAATCTCTACCACCAAACCGAATTCCCAGTATACATATAATTGAACATGCTACTATGAATGTAATTGATGTTCTCAAAATATGAGCTTCAGTGATTTCCTGCTCTCCGTTACGAAGAAATTTATCAATTAAAATAAATTTCCTCAATTTCGCTATGCGGAGAACTTTAAGGTTATTAAATAAATTAAAATTGATGGGATTTACAAAATTCTCCCTTATAGATCTGCTAAGAGATGCTTCTCTGTTTATTGTGGCCTCCGTTCTGTCAATTATTTGAGAAAGAACGACGCCCATGGTTAAGCTTACATGAAATAACATCTTACCACGGCAAACCATCAGTCTTGCCTAAAAGACACTGTAGGGTTTCAATAAATAAACAAATAATAGTTTTGGGGGGTTAAAGAAGAGTGGTAATTGTTTTTCTGAAATCGGTTTAAATATACTTAAAAATATAGGTCTATTAACGCGTGGTGTCCTTTCGGCCACGCCTACTGGTCTAGTCAAGTTGTGAAGCAGTAGTGCTGTGCAGCTTCTAATGCAGTTGCTCCTCTTAGGTTTTTATTTCTATTTTAGGCCCACTTGCATTTTATCACTCTCTGTAAGCAAGGTTTTTTGATTACCGTGTCTTCTAATCAGTATTCAATATATCTCTGTAAGTTCAATTTGTCTGCAAATTTCCTTTTCAAAAAATGAAAAATAAATTTTTAACTATTTGATAATGTATATATTATAATCAATCATTTTTTAAATTATTATTCCCTAGGTGTTGTAGTTGAATTAAATTGTTATTTATTTATAATTATATATATTTATAATTTATTAGTAAATATAATTTAACATCATGTTCTTTGAAAAAACCTATGTAGCTTGCAATTAATTGAATCATTGATTTCCAAAGGTACTAAAGGATAACTTTAGTATTTTGGCCTATTTGTATTCTAATATTTGATTTTATTAAAATTTGTCACCCATGTTCATCTAAAAACTTGAGTCCTTTAAAATCATTTTTGAAATTAAAATACAGCTTATTGCACTAACCACTATTGATATCACATGAAAAGAGTTCAAATCAGGCTCTCCTGTGATTTTAAAGTAACTTATATCATAATTTTATTTTATTTTTTACGAGGAACGCACAAGAGCATAAAATCTTTAATTTTTTTATATGGAGGTCTAATTAAGTTATTTAGGGGAGAAAAAATCCTAGAAGTTTAAAGGTGCACACATTTTTCCAAACCAGAGACAATTGTTTTTGCAGAATTTTAATTATTTTCTACCACTTTTTTTTGCAGGATTAATTATGATAATATTTATTTATAATTGTTAATTAGCATTCTTCCTCAAGAAGTTAACACAATATGAAATAATCACATGAACAAATTTCAAATTGCTTTATTTTATTGTTTCGTTGATTATCATAATTGTTTTTTTATATGGCTCAAAAGTTTATATGATTTGATTTATTAGATATTAACTGAAAAAAGTTTGTTATTATTAGTTATTTCTAATCTAGACACTTCAAATAATATGTATACATATATAGCTCAAGGCTGTGACGAATGATAGGGTATATAGTAAATTTTTAACTAATATATATCTCAGATTCTATTGTTTCTGAAATACATTTGTAAAAATCTAGTTCTCTTGCTGTCATATATTATGTAATCAAGTATGCAACAATTAATTTTTTTATTTAACTTCATTGAAGCAATAATTTTTATCAAAGTATTGATAAATTTGATTCAGTCTATTTGAGGTCAGAGGTCAAAGTTTTTTGTTGAATTGTGTCTCAAGGACACCAAACAGATAAAAAAGAAAGCTATTTGGATGTTGCCCTAACAGAAATGTTTGATTTCAATCTTTTAAAATCATTACTTCAAAATGAAATTTGAAAAATAATCTTTTCATGAGTTTGCATGTTTCAGTAATTTAGTAATAGATAATCTGTTCATTGTACAGATTATTCTAAATTTCTGATATGTCAAAATTGCTTGGTCATCAGAATTATTCAAATTTTGGTTTAATGTTGCTTGAATAATTGAAGTCTCTTAAGTTACTTGTAAACTAAAAAAAACAAGCAAATCTATTATTCCTTTGTATATATGTTTTTCATATTATTGAATAAAAAAATTACTGTAAAAAATTAAAGAATTACTATAAATGTTATGGGCTTTATAAGATGTAAATGCATTTTTAAAGTTTCTGAAGTCTGTTAGAAAAAAATTGAACTCCTCTTTTTTGCAGGTCATAGGGAGCATCTATTTTGGACTAGAAACATTAGAAGAGCAACAACATGTTTGTATTAAGACAATGTCTCACTTTAGGGACCAAATCATCTGTTAGAAACTTTGCTGCTGCTACCAATTTGGTTAATGTAAAAATCAATGAAGACACAGGTATTATTTTATTTTCATAAAAAAATTATACCATTAATTGACTCGTAAGTAATTTTATTATAGTTTTAAATTCAATTCAATGCATTCACAGGCGTTGTTATAATGGAATTGAACAAGCCGCCTGTAAACAGCCTTAATTATGAACTTTTGGAAGCAATGCATCGTACATTGGTCAAACTAGAAAATGAGAGATGTTCTGGAATGATTCTTACATCTGTGAGTACCTGTTGTTATCTTGAGATTGGGTATAATAAATCCAATTCTGTTACCAATTTTAAATTATTAAAGATAAAAGTAATTTTATGAACTCTATCAATTTTATTAATTCTATTGTATTTAAATTTTATATATTTATTTCCTATAGGTGGAAATTATTATTTTCAATAATCTATTTGTATTTGGTGCCAACTTTTCTAGCAGAAGCTTAATTTTAATGTATATTATGAGATAGTATTTATAGTATTCATCTTTAAAAAAAAACTTTTACTAAAAAATAATACCAAAAACAGTTAAAGTAAAAAATCTGATGTTTAAAACTAGAAATGCGTATTATAATTATTTTTTTATTTTTCTTCCTTATATAGATTTTGATGCATATAATTAGTTCTATATTATTTGAATAGTTCTAATGGAATATTAAAATAATTTTAATGGATATAAATTGAAGATTTTTGTTTGAGTAATATTGCTTGAGTGTGTTAGTAGCTACCATCATCCCTTTTTTTATGGCCAGTAATTCAGTCTTTTTATTTTAGAAAAAATCCTGATTTACTGGCCATTATTTAAAGATATTTTACCGTCATAATTATTTGCTAAATAATTTGTAATCTGATTTAGAAGCTTTACTCTGCGGAGAAATGTCCTTCATGATAATTTCATTAACATGATGTTTATGTTTCAGTCTTCGCCTAACACTTTCAGCGCTGGTCTGGATCTTCTAGAAATGTATAAGCCTACCGTTGATAAAGCAAGGAAATTCTGGGGTATGTTACAGAATACATGGATTAAACTGTACTCTGCACCTTACCCAACTGTAGCTGCCATAAACGTTAGTGGTTTTTGAATTTTTGTTCCATCTCTTTTTTTATTTTGAAACACACTAGCGTTACTGACTTATTTCCATTTTTCTTTACTTGTAATTAATAAATATATAAAGTATTATTCTCCTTAATATTTAAATTATATTATTCTCTTTGTTATTGTAGATTCCACAATATGATAAACATTAATTGGTGTGCTATTTTTTTTTTATTTCTAGCTTTTACCATTTTATGTTTTAAAATTGTTGTTAGTTGTTATAATTAGTTAATAATGACTTAATATTTATTGCAACTTTTATTATAATTTTATAATGCTTTAAAAATCATATAAATTCTATCTAATTTTTGCAGCAGGTTAGAAATAAGTCATAATGGACTTTAAAATATCCATTACTATTTATGCCACCATGTTTTGGAATACCTTACACATCTCTATTCATGAAACCTAATCTCTAGATTTATCTAAATACCATTTATTTCTCTACCTCCTCAATCATCAGTCTTCCATATATATATATATATGTAAAAATAAAGGATGTTGTTTATTTTTGCAAATATGTGTATATCGCTGTCCCACTACAACTGCTTTTGTCTTTTGTTATATATTTTTTTAGATATAGTACAGAGCAGTTTAGATTCATAGCCTTATTCCTGAAAATACATGCACATCCCAAAATAAACCATTTTTTTTGATTTTCACTTATTCAACATATTCTTGTATTTTATTTCATGATTTAATTATTGTATAATAATTTAATAAGTTTTACAAATGTTACTGGAACTTAACATTTTTACTGTTTATTCTTTAAATGTTGGTTTCTAAGAATAAAAATTATTATTTTTATTTTCATTATGTTTTAATGTTTTAGGGACACAGCCCAGCTGGAGGTTGCCTTCTTGCAATGAGCTGTGAATACAGAATTATGGTACCCAAAAAGAAGATAGGATTAAATGAAACACAGCTGGGAATAGTTGCTCCACAATGGTTAGACCTACAATACAAATCTTTTATGACCTACTTAAAACAGAATAACTTTTTGTTTATTTATACGCTTTATGATATATGTATTTTTTATCTGTATGCGTTTTAACTCTGGCACTATACTAGGATAGCGGGTGAAACAGAGACCTTGAGAACGCTCATTCCTCACTGCTCCCTTTATCACCAGTAACTGAATGAATTTGCATGAATTGATCATGTATTTATTTTTTAATTAAAATTCCATAGTTTATTTTACATTTAAAAAAAAAACCTATAGGTTTGTTCCAACAAGCAGTTCTAAACTAGTTGATGCACTAGTAAACCGCTTTGAGCCGAGAATTTGACTATTTGTGCCGGTTCAGTGCTTTTTGGAATAGCGGACTAATACTGTCCAGAACCTGGTTTGGGCCTTGTTGAAACACCACAACTGTACTGCGCATGCGTGAACAGTTCAGAATTAGTTGTTGGAACAGACCTTATGTATACATTTCATAGTGCTAGGAGTATACTATTGTCAATTGCTTAAAATGTTTCTCAAGGGGGCGGGGTGGCTGAGTGGGCTATTGTATTTGTAATACACACATTGCCGGATAACCTGATGATTACGAGTTCAAGTTTCAGTACCTGGAGCATTTAACTCTGGCTTTAATTCCGAGCCCTCTCCCTTGGCTCAGGAAAAACATTGTATAGCTGAAAAGCCAAGATAGAGAAGAAAAGAAAAGAAAAATAAAGGTTAAAATCCTTCTTTATATTCTATTAGCTGTTTATGACAGAAAATTAATTCAAATAGATTCCCTAATATTTTATTTTTCATCATGGATGCTTTATGTATCTTTTTTAGACTGTATGCTAGAACATATAAAGAATATATTTTCAATTACAAAATTATAGGATATACTATTTTTAAAATTTATTTATATATATTTTTTAAATAGAATTTACTCTATTTAAGCTATCACCAAACTTCAGTAAACTCTTAAAATTTTGTATATACCAAGGAGTATAGAATATGCCTTATAGAATTAGGGGAAGGGATAACGTAATATATTATGTGGAAATATTTTAAAAATTAATCGGGTAAAAAATTAAAAAGCTACAGATTTTAATAAATTAAAAAAATTATGTTAGAATTCACTTTAGAGAATTCTACTAAAACACACATGCTATCATTACTAACCTTATACAATTTTCTATTATTATCAGGTTTCAAGACTGCATGAAGAATATTATTGGATCTAGGCAGGCTGAGAAGGCACTCATTGCTGGCACACTGTTCTCTTCTGAAGAAGCCGCAAAGATTGGACTTATTGATGAACTAGCAACTGATAAAGAAGATCTCATGAAGAAGGCCCACGACTTTATGGACGAACAGTTGGGGCTCCCACGTAAGTCATCATTGAATATATTGGTTCTAATTGATTTGGTTGAGTTTAAATTATATCTTACAATTGTCTTTAATTCTTATTATTTTTATTGGAGATTGTAGATAAATTAAGTATTATTGATTTTTGTATTAATTTATATTGTAGATCTATTTATGCATTTGTTAATATTGGGTTTGAACGAATGAAATGTCAGATTTTTTTAAACAATCTCTTGTTCGCAAATATTAATGCGATGAGTAGTAAATTAATCTGTTGATAATATCTTGGGTCACTTTGACATTTAAAAATAGCATCATCCATTTTCTGTTTCATATTCTATTATTTAACATTTATTCTTAATGTTTCGGGGAACACTCCTCATCTTCAGAACATTAATCTTATTCTTATAATTTATTAAAGATATAATATCTTTAAAGCCAATTCGTTTAAAATTTTACATAATTGTATCTATTAAAAGGCCTAACAGCCTAAACTAATTGTTTCTTTAACCAGACCAAAAAATGTGATATTTCTCCTTTGATTGTCATCCCTTAATGTTAATTATGAAAAATTCAAGAGCCTATATAATTTTTTATCATTGATAAAATATGAGATATTATGCTTGGAAATAATTCTCATAGCCTGTTTTTCTTTGAAGTTTTCAGGCAAAATTTCCTGTAGCACACTGAAATTTTTGCATCCTTTTCAGTTTTTTATTCATATCTCCAAAACTATGCATTTTATTGAGAGAAAAAAAATCTAAATAGAGTAAAGTTGGCAAAATTTATTACATATTCCATCCATAGTTTTTTAATGTAGAACCAATAGATGAAGAACTAGAGCAAGTTTAAAATTTATTAAATTTGAATGTTTTGTAAACATAGCATTCTTTGTGCGTTTTTCGCAGATTACTCATAATATGCCTATTTCCAAAAACAGTGTAGTGTGCACAAATTGGAAGCCAATTCATTTAATATCTTCTTGCTTAGGGTATATGATGATTTTTTTATTGTTTCATATTAGTTTATTTTGAAGTGTGTTAACATCATATGAATAATGAGTTGTTTTTTTAGCTCTGGCTAGAAGTACTGTAAAAATTGGTTTCCGGAAGGACACTCTCAATCGGCTAATCAATAGCAGAGAAGTAGATACTAAATATTTTATCGACTTCATTTTCCAGCCAAAAGTTCAAGAAAGTTTGGAAATGTACCTTCAAGCGCTCAAGAAAAAATAACTCTATTTTAATATACGACTAGCTTTTATCTTGTTTCTAGATATTTATGATATTTTTTTTGATTGGAAAGGTAAAATCAATCGAAAAATAATTGATGTGTCATATATTTTTATATATTTTTTAAAATTAAATAGAAGACTGTTTTAATTTAGATCACTAAAATATTTTATGACCAATCTCTATAAATATACAAATTTATTTTTATTTTAGATATATTTAATGTTGCAAATATTTATATTGTTCTATATTTTATAAGTATTATTTATTATTTTTAAAGAAATGTATAATATATTCTCTTTGTTGTATTACTTGGTGTTTTCTTTTTATGTTAATTAATTTACATAGCACACCCACTAGCGGATCCAGGATTTAATTTTGGGAAAGGCTTCAGCCTGAAAGCTTTTTTTTTCATAAAAATGACGACATTTACTTTGGAAAAAAAGAAAGAAACTAGCTATCTATATGAAATGGTGTTTAAGTGGTTTCTTGAGTCCTTTTAAATGTTATTACACAAACAATAATACTTTAAGAGATAATTTTTTAATATTTTTTTCCATAAAACATGGTTATATTTTACCATTTTGGGGGGACTATAAAGTACCATGATGATACAAGAGTTTGTGAAAACTGCTTACTTCTTCAGACTTCTGTCATGACATCTCTAATATCCAAAAGAAGGATGAACCTGCATGAAGGGGTCAGTTTAGTATTGATCTGTTACTAGAAGAATAGGTTAGTATTCTTCATGATATAGTTGATATCCTTATAAACAAACAGACAAGTAATAGTTATGCACATATTTTTTTCTTTATTGTTATACAATTTTGTAAGGATTTGAGATGTTTACTTCATTTTTATTTTGGTATTAGATATCCTTAAATATATAATAGATACAACAATGCATGAGCCCTATTTCGAACATACAAAGTTATTATGGAGCTGTGATTCAAACCACACCCTCACTAGAATCAGACTCTGTCAGAGCCTGAAGCGATTATACATTATAGGGATCAAGTAGAAAAAAAGAAGTGTGAAGTATAATTCTAAATTGGGCTAAAAAATAAATTTGAAACCTTAATCTTGGAGGACCTGACAGTTTACCAACACTTTTAGACATTGGAGAAATGGTTAAAAGAGACATAAATAACTAGTAGGTACTCAATAGAAACAAAAAGCCAACAAGAAGCATACAGAAAAGATCATGGATGTGTGACAATGGACTAATACCTTACACAGTTGCCTAGAAAAATGCAAACAAAATTATAATGGTGAAAAGAAAATTTCTCCAAAAACATCGCTCTTCATTGAGAATAACTGTAAGGCTGGAAATATATGCGCATCCTATGTGGATGTCAGGAAAGAAAGAGTAAGCTATGAATAAAAAAAAAATGAGCAAATGGTTGGAAAACAGAATACTTTACTAAGCATCCCTAAAGAACATTTCCAGCAGTTTCTTAGGAATGAAAAAGACATGCAACACATCCAGCAACTCAACCCAAAAGAGGGTTAAAAACAACAACATACAGTTATTTCCATATTTCAGATTTAGAAAGAGCTATTAAAAGAAGGCCTTGGAGAGGGACGACTTTCCTGCAATTGCCTCTCTCGTTCTCTTCCCCGTCCCAAAACTCTGCAAATGTATATTATTAGAACACTGGAAGTCCTAGCTCAGTGATCTCCAAACTTTTTGGCTCCACTAGATCGTTTTGCACGGTCAAATCTCTCGTCCAAAGCTTTATATGAACTCAACTTGATGGTGAAACTTGTACCATGTAAAAGAGTTACAGTCGCGGATCGGACTAAGATCCGCGAGCCACATTGAGACCCTCACGTAGTCCCGGGGCCATGGCTCATGATAAAAAAAAAAAGGTTCTAAAATGACACGTTAGTTATATATGAACTTTCTAAGAGAAACAACTAATGGAATAAAGACAATTGTTACCTCAAGTTTAAGTGATTTACTAAATTTCGTATTTAGTTAATCTTTTATACGGGCCGGATTGAAGGTGCTTGTGGGCCGTAGTTTGGAGACCCTTGTTCTAGCTCGTTGATTTGTTGTAGTGCCAATCATATATGGCGAGTGAGATCTGAATACTAACCATCACTCTAGAAAAAAATGTTGAAATATTTGAGAGGAAAATCCTCTGCACGATAACCGGAACAATCAGGGATCAGAGTCCTAACACATGGAGAAGAAAGACCAATAAAGAACTGTTTACATAAACTGGTCAACCAATATCCCATGGTATGAAGGTACGGAGGTTAAGATGGGCGGGACAAGTAGCTCCTAATAATCCATCTGTAAGCCTCTACGTAACAATTAATGCCTCAATAGAAGGCAAAAGACCACGTGGAAGTCCAAAAAGCAGAAGAATAGATAAAATGAACAAAGATGCAACAGAGTTGCGTGCAGATAAATGGAAAGAAATAGCACAAGACAGGCAAAGATAGAGCAGGCTTGTTAAGGTGGCAAAAGATATACATAGTCTGTAATGCCAACAGAAAAAAATATATTTGTAATATATGTTACCATCTAATTTAAAAAAAACGTTGGCGGGCCGGATTGAAGGTGCTTGTGGGCCGTAGTTTGGAGACCCATGCCCTAGCTCGTTGACTGGTTGTAATGCCAATCATATTAGGTTGCTGATACTGGTACTTGGTGGGGTGAACTAGTCCGGCTATTGCCTTAAGAGAACCTTATCGTGGTCCTTTTTGCCAATCCCCTGACGGCTACCTTAAGGTTGTCACCACCTACTCACTAGAGTGGGAATGTCATGATTCATTTTCGGGGGGCGCCTAGATATGAAAATTAACCGACCCAGGTGGGAATCGAACTCACAACTTTAGAACAGGGCATTCTGTGACCCACGCCACAATGTGCTCGTCCATCACGTCCTCATTATTATTAGGTTAAAATAATTCTCGAAAACAGAGTAGCTAGATTAATATATGAAACTAGGTTCCATGGATCCATGGCAGAGGCACACTTGGGGAGATGCAATCAGCAAGGATGTATTAACTGGAACAAGCTGTATAAATTCTTCGTCTTCGTTTATCTGATTAAATGATCACTTCCAGTGATAAAACAAGTAAATCAGTAGTTCTCCTGGGGTCCTCCAGTGTCCCATAGAGTTCGGTTTCAAGCGATTTCGGCCAAGGACAAAGGCTCCTTCTAGCCTCATCAAGTTGAACACAACTCGGAAGAACAAGTCCAGCTATTTGTTCTACCACACTAGGAACTACTTCGAATTCAGAATTGTTTGTAAAGTTGAGAATTTCCTCTGCTGTGGTTATTGCTGACTCTGAATATCGCGACTTGCTCTTTTCTATTTAGTTTATGGTAGGGTTCTTGGATGTTGCTATGAGGATGTTTGGTGCCTCATTTTAGCCTTATCCTAGCTTTATTTGTTTTTATCTCGTCCAATGAGAGTCGGAAGTCAGTCTGCCGTTGAAGTGATACAGCCTTTGGCATTTTTTCTGCTTTTTCGTTATTTTTGTTACCGCAGTACGCAGTTATTTATTGCAAAACAAATTGTTTGCTAAGGTTGTTTAGCTTTTCTAGTTGTGTGTGATTCCAGTTCCTACGTTATCAGAGAATAAAACCACTTTGAATGAGAATAAAACCACTTGAAAGTGCCTCTATAAAATGGAAACTTATACTTATCAGCGATGAAGAAGAATGGAGTTTAATAACCATTATAAATATTTAATAACTAAGATCTTGGTTCTCATAAACTGTATGTACGCTTACAATTCATATTGTTCCTCCTATACGTCTTGAATATTAATAATCAGACCTGTTTGACTAATAAATCGTTAGCCTTCGCCTTGGAATAATATTTTTGCTTTTAACCACACCCTGGAATCATATGAATTTGGAATTGGATTTCGGTGCAAATTACGAGAAATTATAATTTTTACTTTATATAATTTATTTTCAGTTGAGTTAGATTGAGGAAAGGTTTAGCTTGGTTGAGAAATAAAGAACGACAATTTGTTTAGTAAATTGATTAATTTTTCTGTAAAATGCTAAGAAAGTTGGTAAAAATAACGCGTAGAATTATGTCGGCCACGCCTACTAAGGTAGTTAACTTTTAACTCAATAATACCAGTGATGTCTGTAATGCATTTCGTCCTCTCAGCATGTTATTATTATCTTTGTCCCACTTGGACTTTATCACCTACTCAAAGCAAGGTTTTTGTGATTATCCTGTTTTCTGATCAGTATTCAATATAACTCTGTAAGTACAGTTCGTTCACTAATTTTCTCCTTAGAAATAATATTTGGCATTGTTTCATGGTATTTATGAATATGTGAATGTGTGTATGTATATTATATATAATATATAATATTATATATATTTGTATATATATTATATTATTGAATATTGAAATGAATATTGTGTGTGTTATGAATATTATGAATATTGAAACAATTCGATTCAATCTGTTTATTATAATTTTTTTTATATTGTCATATCCTACAGTTTACAGTTAAATTCCAATTTACTTTAGTTATTACATTTTTTAAATATGATTTTATAATTATTATTAAAATTGGTCAGGTTTCTTTTAAATTATAGATTCCTAGTGAAGGATCTAAAGTAATATTAAAGATGCACATAGAAAAATATGTGATATAAATTTTATACAATTTAAAGGCTTGTAATCATTTTAAAGGACTGATTGTTTTATTTGTTGCTTAAAGCAATATATATATTTTTTATTTATTCATGCTATTTACAACTGTATTCGAATATAATTACATCAAGTAAATATGTACACAGGAATATAATCACATGAAAACGCTATTTGAGATAGTACCCACTGATAGCACTCTAATAAAAGTAGTATTTATAATACAACTTAGATTTTGTTGAAGAGCAGTCAATTTTTAATTATGGCATATATAAAAAATATATTTCTTAAATACATTAGTAAAAAGTTAAGAAATACGTTTTGTTTTATCCCTCTCTCATATACCTTGATGTAGCAAATTATGTCAAAATTACATTCAATTTTCTTTTTTTTTTTTTTTTTTTTACTTAGAGTGATAAATTTAATATATAAACAATGACAAATTTGATTTTTAGGTCAAAGTTTTCTGCTGACTCTGTTTCAAGGTCACTATCTGATAAAAAAGAAAGCTATTTGGATGTTACCCAATCTTAAATTTTGGATTTACAGATTTTTAATTCAGTTCAATTACTTGACAAGAAATTTAAAAAAAATTTTTATAATTTTTTAATAATTAAAAGTAACATAAATCATCCTTGATTTCTGGCCTACAGAAATTACTTGGTCACCGGCTAGCTTTATAAATTCAGATATTTCAATGACACAACTACATAATCTTAAAAATCATCTTATAGTTGTTACTAAATAATAGATTGAATTATAACAACTTGGTATTGTATAATTCTAGCCACTTTCCCTATGATATCCAAAAAAAATGTATACATCTTAATTCTAACACATTATTATAATTGTGTGGTTGTTTTATTGCATGTTTACTCTCAATGCATCTTCATTATTTTGCGTTAATAATGGAAGGTAAAAAAAATTTTAAGCAGGCTTGGAACCTGTCTTCATTGAGAATACTAATGTGGATGTTTCTCAAGGTTGTTGTAAACATTTAATTCATTCAATACAGTATCTTAGCATTTTTCTCTTGATTGTTACCTCTTCAAATTTTCATTTTATTTTTAAAAATTTCATTTTCACTCGTTTTTTTTTTTTTTTTGCTTAAAACCATTGAAGGTATTGGACAATATTACTTGAATACATTTTTTTTATACATGCATGTTATTAAAATACATTTCACTGAAAAAAATTTAATTTTTAATTTAAAAGGGATCGAGAAAAAAAGAACTTATGTTACTTTTCAGCTAATTAAAAAAAATCCTACCAATGGTTGATTATTGTATCAATTTTTTTTTCTTATTGTACGAATTATAGATTTACGTATTTATTAATGTACATATTATACCATTTCAATTTTCAGTTTTAAAATTGATCAAGTATCTTTGCAAAAAGAAATTAGTAGTAATTTTCTTGTTTTTTTCTTTAGGTGATAGAGAACTTTTATTTGAACTAGAAACATAGGAAAGTCCCAACATGTTTGTATTAAGACAATGTCTCACTTTAGGGACCAAATCATCAATTAGAAATTTTTCTGCACTACAAATTTGGTTAATTTAACAATCAATGAAGACACAGGTGTTATTTTTTTTTAAATTTTCATTATAAATTAATTGTCTATTAAATAATTCTATAACAATTTTAAATTTACTACAATGAATTCACAGGCGTTGCCATTATGGAATTGAATAAGCCACCTGTAAACAGCCTTAATTATGAACTTTTGGAAGCAATGCATCGCACATTGGTCAAGCTAGAGAACGAGAAGTGCCCCGGAATGATCCTTACATCTGTGAGTATCTGTTATCTAAAAGTTGGGCTTAATAAATGCATTTTTGTTGCAGACTGTTCCTGTGCCAATTTTAAATTATTTTTGGAAACTGATTGAAGGTTGAATGTGAAAATAGTGTTAGTGTTCAGTGGAGATTTCTCCATAAATGGATATTTTTCAATTTTATTTATATTTTGTTTTATTGATTTTAATAGCTTTATTTTTCCTTTGCTTGTTATATTATTTTAATAAATTTTTTAAAAGTATTTTTCTATTAATGGATATCATTATTTTTTTAAATATATATTTAATTATGAAATTTTATGAAGTATTATTTTTATGTTTATTATTAAAATTTTTAACTCATTTTTTTTTTAATTGGACTCTTAGAAATTCGTATTTCTTATTTTAAAAAAATATGCAAGAAACTATATATTTAAAGAAAAAAATTCTAATTTTCTTCCATATCCGAAAATAAAGTAAATGATTTTTATAGTAACAGAATGTTTTGATAATTTTTTTCGAAGTAATATTACTTATATTAGTAGGTTGCTCTTGTAATGCCATCCCTTTTTCTGGTCAAAATTCATTTCCTAAACATTATTTAGAGATATATTGGAGGGAAATTAACAGTTTAAAATAATGATTTGCTAAATAATTGTTGAGCTGATTTAAAGAGATATTTACTAGATGTGTAAAAATATCCTTTGGATCATTTGATTAGCCGTATGTTTGTTGCAGTCCTCACGAAGCACCTTCAGCGCTGGTCTGGATCTTCTAGAGATGTATAAACCTACTGTTGATAAAGCAAGGAGATTCTGGAGTATGTTACAAAATACATGGATTAAGCTGTACTCTACTCCTTATCCAACCGTCGCTGCCATAAATGTTAGTAGTTTTTTTATTGTTAATTTAGTTTCTATTTAATTATTTATTAATGAGAAAATTTATTATTAATCTTATTAGTAATGATTTCTTATTTCTATTTATTGGAAGAATTTAATAAATAGATTTTCCTCTTCTTCTGTATGTTTATTTTAAGCATGATTACTTAACTAGTCCAGATAAAACTTATTAGGAAAGTATAATAAGTTGATCTAAAAAATTAATGGAACTTAATTGGAATACTTCAGATCCCACCATTCCATCTATTAAATTAAAAATTCTGGAAAAAGTCTCTTGTATAGTAATATAATGAGAAAGATTTTATTAAGATAATCAATACATCCAAATGGTTTATGAAAAAAAACATAAGTGTTATGTTATTTCATTTATAATCCTACTGAGAGTAAAAATTTTCATATATAGGAAGGTGAAAGCAAAAATTGTAGATGGTATAACATATTAATTTAAAAAAATTAATTATCATGTTCTTCTATCCATCGATTCTGTTAAATTTGTTCTTTTGCATCACCTTTCATTTCAATTTATGACTGTATTTAATATCTGATAATATTAATGATTATGGAAAATTTTTGAGCTGTATCCCAAGCATCTTTTATTAACTCTTTGAAAAAAAGAGTTTATATTCCTATATATTTTGTATTATTAGATTTATATTAGTTGATCCTGGTTATTGTGACATGCGTATACCTACCTTAAAAATGTAAATTCAGTTTCATATGACTTTGTGTTTTGAGTAGGCTGTTCACCCATATACACACACCCTCACACAGATCATTTCACAAAAGTTGATTTTTTGAACTTAGGGAACCTCAAAATGTGTATATCTGTTGAAAACTCAGATTAAAAAATACTCACGATGAATACTTTCTCTTACTATACATTTTATATAGACTTCTCAAAAATGAATGGGGATATTTCTATTTGATTCGTTTTTATTCAAATTTTTTTTTTTTTTTTGTTATGAATTCTCTTATTTGTTGGTAAACATAAAATATAAATAATAATTATTCTTTTATTCTATTTCTTTATAAATTATTAACTAAAGAATAGTAAACATGAAGAACACTCAATAAACCAACAGTTTTAGACTTTTCTCAATTTTAATCCAAAAGCATTCTGTTTGGCAATGGAAAGTAAAGTAACGTTCAGCTATTGAAAGTAGTATTACTATTAGTATAGTATGGGATTCCTTGTGAAATCAGTGACATTATAAATGGTATGCATAATAGGTGCAGAGAGGTAGTGCATAACAAAGGGTACTACATGAATTATTAAATTTTACGAAATTCACAACCATAAAAACAAGATCACAAAAACTTTTAATTTTAATATTTTTTTATAACACCTTTTATGAAATTTCCCGAGGTCAAAGATAATCTTATTTGTGTTAATTTTCAGTGTATTTTTTAATAAAATAAATCATACTCATACATAACTCACAATATTCCTATTACTTTTTGAGCAGTATATATTAATAAGTGAATAAGTAAACTTTTGTAATATAATAAATGAATTTCATCTCAATAAATCCATGCAAGAACAAAATTAACTTGTGCTGAATAGTAATTAAACTGATTAATTTCTCTAAATTTCTTAAGGCAAGTGAATCTTTTGTAAATATAATATGTTATTCATGACTTATTTTATGTCTTATTCTATATACAATAAGGTGTTTGAATAAGTTTTCTGGAATATAATTCTATTTGGAGCATTGTGAGGAAATAATATGAATCTGAGTTAAATAATCTAGAAATAAATAAATTCTTACTACAAATTAAAAAAAAAATAATTGTATTCACTACAATCATGGGAAAAAATTAGTGTAATTAACAGGTAGAACGTTGCAATAAAAAAAAAAAGAAGGAGAATCAGCTTTTTGAGGCTATATTTAATTCCTTTTTAAGTCTATTATTGTTGTTAGTGATTGGTCCTTTTGTTTTTTCACTTATATTTATGTTGTTATTCACGTGATCAGATCCACTTGGTTATCTGCTAATCATGTTTATAAAGCAGCCATGCATAATTTCAATTAAATACAGATGTAACTGAGGGGCGTAGTATTTAATATATTTATGAAATATAGTCAATCTTTTTTTTTTTTTAGGGACATAGCCCAGCTGGAGGTTGCCTTCTTGCTATGAGCTGTGAACACAGGATTATGGTACCCGATAAAATGATAGGATTAAACGAAACACAACTGGGAATAGTTGCTCCACAATGGTTAGACATACATATTTTTATTTTATTTTCTTAATACTAGGTTATTACAAAAGTCCTTGTACATACGTATAAACTTATTTCATATCAAATATTTTAAATGTTATTGAATATTAGAAATAGAAAATCATCTTTATTCTGGTAGGTCCCATAAAATTAAAGGTCCCATCCTTAATGTTATATCAGATTTTGAAGCTAAATTTTGCAAATATCAACTCGCTGCTGGATATAGGATATAGGCTTCTGTCAAGTCATATGGGTCAGGCCTTAGTCTTATGCCCATGTTGTTAAGATGATAAGCCACTGGGGCATTTTATGCCCCTATTACAGCCAATAAATAATGAGTAGTTGCATGTGGGTCTTGCTTCACACATTCAAGACGAACATCATCATCAAGGACCGAAGGGGGATCTGACCTGGGTATATCTGCAAGGCTCATATTTCCATTGTTGAAACACCTGAACCAAAGTGCGGCAGTATTTTGATGGATAACTGACTATCCTTTGGGTGGGGTGGCAGAGTAGGCCAACGCTTGTTCTCTGCAACCTGATAAACAGAAGTTATCACGATAAAATGATTACAAGTTTATGTCCTGGTGCTAGAGGGTCTTTTAACTCTGGCATTAATCCCTCACCCTCTTCCCTGGTCTGGGAAAAAAATTCCCATAAAGCCTAAAAGATAAAGAAAGGGGGAAAAAAAAATATATGTAAACCAACCTTGATATGAATAGTAGGAACAAAAACATTCTTATAGGATTAGTTATGAGAGTTGGAATTAAAGGTGTTCATGCACAAGGACTTTGTAACAACCTAGTAGTTTCTTCTGTTTATAGCCAGAAAAATCTGGTGTGTTGTGCACATCACTCAACTTTCACTTAGCACTCTAGCTAGAGTATAAATAGGTATTCTCATATATAAAGAAGTGAATTTCATGTATAAATGGAGATCATACTGTTTTGGGTGGGACCTCAAAACAACTATGCATAAGACCTATTTTTACTCAATAGATTTTTAAAAAAGAAAATCTGGTGTGTCCACTCACACGACTTTTCTACCTATTTCAAAAAGTTTTTGTATCTTTACATATGTTCATGAAGAAACAAAAAAGAATTGAACTAGATATATTTTCCTGAAAATTGATCAAAGATAAGATTTGAGTACGATTTATTTGATAAACTAAAGCAATGTAAACCGGTTTAAGATAGATCAGTGTAAAAATTTCAATACTTCCTAATATTGCTGATCAAAAACTTCTTGGCATAGCTTAGTATTGACAAACAATAATCTCTGTTGAAAGCATAGGAAATAGTGAAGGTTGTGTGATGCAGGCAACAGATTTTCTTACTTTCACTTAGTCATCTTTATTCTCTCATTCACCCCTTTCTGACGCTAGGATATGAAACCGTAATCTTACATTGGTAATTGAATAGCTGTAACTTCGTTAATAGTCGTCTGAAATGAACGATTTTTATATGGCTTTGTAGGGAATTCCACTACCTTTCAAACGACATGCTAAACGGCGAAATGCATAAAAAATAAAATAAGCTGTATCATCACTAATACTGGTTCGATTCCAATGATTTTTTTTTTTTGTTTTGTTGGTAATTTAATTACCTTTCAAAAGTGTTATTATAAATTTTACCGTATAATATATACTTAGGGAGTTAGGCCCTATAACATTTTTATTTTCTTTATAACTTTTTTTCCTGAATTTTTTGGGGAATTTATTCTATATACGAAAATTGAAAGAACAATGATTAGAGCATTATAGGAAAGTTTCATCAAAATCGTTAGAGCCCTTTTTTCTGGAGCACCGAATTTCTGTCACAGCCATCAGTAGTCAAAACACTACAAAATAAAAAAAGAAGCAACAAAATCAGTTCAGTAATTCCCGAGAAAATCTTGGCACAGACAGACAGACCAATGGCTAAAAATGTGTTTTTCGGACCCAGGAGACTCTGAAACGTATAGATCCAAATCGGACCGCATGTCGGAAATTTGACCCAATTGCAATACTTTCCTTACCTAGTATAGGTAGGAAAGTAATAATTGTTAAAATTGTCTTTAGAGAGTAATTCCATATTCTAAAACGTGCATTAAACGTTACTGCCACTATACATGTTTCTGTTACTGTCAGGTTTCAAGACTGTATGAGGAATATTATTGGAGAAAGGCAGGCCGAGAAAGCACTCATTGCCGGTAGAATGTTTACATCTGAAGAAGCTTTGAAGATTGGACTCGTTGATGAACTAGCAACTGATAAAGAAGATCTCATGCAGAAGGCACATGACTTTTTGGACGAACAAATGGGACTCCCACGTAAGTAAATATTTAATATTTATGGTATTTGGTTTAATTAACCAAAAAGCATTGAGGTATCGATGTCGAATATGCTTCGATATTTGGTTTCCCTTCCCGCAGGCTAATATCGGACATGCTTCAGATGCACTGATGAAAATCCCTTCCTCTAGCCACTTGTTCATTGGCACTAGCCTTGATGAAGAGTTTTATAAGCTGTAAAAAACATTTGTGGAGAACTTGCTTTCATATTTTTGGTGTTAAAAATCTTAGTAATTCTATGTTATTTCTATTTAATCAAGGGTGTTCTTTTCAAAATTATTTTAAAATACCTTACTGAATAGAGGTCTAAAACTGCTCTGAAATAGTCAAATTTCAAAGATAGAGTTCCAGCAGTTGTCCACAGGAGATGGTCGTTATACTTCTTCATGATGATGCTCCATCACATGTTTGTCAGTTATCTTTAAAAAAATAAAAAAAATATCTGAAAATTCAACTTATACCACATCCATCATATCTCCCTGACTTGTTTCCAGCTGACTAACACTTTTCCAAGCTTCCTTTTGTTTTCAACAAAAAAATAAGTAAAATAAAAAAAAGGTAAATTTTTATTTCTCAATTTTATACTCATGCCAAAACATTTCTTAGAGCAAGGGATGAAATTCTTTTTGAGCATTGAAAGTTATTTTGAATAACAGCTATATTGTTATAGTTAGTTTTTATTTCAATTGCTTCATACCCTTGAAACTTTCATGTAATTGCTTGTTCATTTGAGCTTAACAACTATCCATCCGTACAATCCATTTGGATGAGTAGCTGTTAAGTTAGTTGTTGGAAATGTAAATCCAACTAGAGTAGGAGGTTGGGTTATCCTAAACATAACCAACATATTTGAGCCAGAATGGCAAGATTAAGATTTATTCCAAATTAGTAGTTGGACATGATAATTATTAAAAATCTGGGTGTAAGCAATGTTTGTTTTAATGTATTATTTTCTTTTCTCCATCATTTTGATTATTATATACCATTCTTTTATGCAAGGAGATGTATTCTTATCACATAACATGTTATGATTAAAATTGTTGTGAAATAAATTGTTAACTTCATGTAAAATTTGTGTTTCCTCACTACTCAAGTTGGAAAAGCTTTTTATTCATGCAGGAAGTGAAAAAAAAAGTTGTCCAAATTGAAAATTACCATTCACGTTTTAGACATCAAGGAACAAATTTTATTCTCTATCAATCTAAAGTCTAATTCATTTCACGGGCATATCTTCTACTACCATAAATCCATTTTTTACAAAAAAAATTCAGTTAACAAAATATTCAGATTTCGTGTGGGTTAGTACGCAAACATCTTTTCAGTAATATATCTATGTTTTGAAAATGGTCATCCGATTTGACCCAAAATTAGATGAAAGTTGGGAAATACTTTATAAATGGTTTAATTTGCTTCAACATGCACATATGTATTTCTTTGACACGTATACATTTCGAGAATTTTTCACCCTATAGATTTTATTCTTGAAGAATTTTATTAATTTACTAAATTTCAAACAAATTGTAGACTTTGAAAAATAGGTGATTAAGTATCCTATACAAATGGTGACCCTACTTGACAGTTTTTTTCTTGAATATTATTAATTTATTTATTGTTTTTTATTAAAAATGTCTGCCATCCATTGTCAGTATAGCTTCATCATCGTTTATATTGTTTATATAATTTCCTGTATTTATATGATTTGTCATTTAGAAATTAAATCTACTAGAAGTATAGCCGCCTTTTCAAGAAAAAATGCTTGCCTAAGTTAAAGAAATAGACAGAATTTGATAAATTCAATATTTGACCATCTAGAAATTAATTCTAGATGGGTATTGTGATCTCCGAAAATTTCATCTAATCAAATTAATGAAAGTATATGGCAGTATTATTCCCATCTCATTAATTCGACTATATTTACAGGGTGAATAATATTTTCTAATGTAGTTGAAAACCTTATTACTATATATATATATATATATATATATATATATATATATATATATATATATATATATATACATATATACATACATACACACACACACACATATACACAAAACTATAACCTATCTTTTCATATGTTCACTGCCTACCACATTTTGCAGAAATTATTTTCTTAATAATTAGATATATTCATTTCAATTGTTTAATACTATTTGTTGAAATTGATGCAAGATTTCCTCCAACTTTGGACCAAATCGAACTAGTCGTTTTTGAAATATATGTTTATAAAGGAAAATATGCTAGTGCATCCGAAAACGAAAGTAATTTTTTGAAAGTCGTGGATGGAATTTGATAAAATTAATACCTACCCAATTTTTTTCATTTTTTCAGTATGCCTCTCGTTTTTTGTTGTTTTTTTCAGAAATTTCGGCTTAGTAATTTTTGTCCATTAGGAAAAATGTAATCAATCAAGCTATATAATATTGATAAATTATCTTGTATAAGGTATTAAAGGATTAATATAAATCCAGCAAATAGCTTAATGATTTAATACAAGTCATGACTTGGAACACTAAATCTTCTATCAAAAGGAAGTAAGTAGTCTATATCAGGTTTGACTTTTCATAATCTGGATTACCTTAAGTGAGTCCTTAATTAGGTTAAGGAAGCTAACAAGGTGAAGATAAACAATGATGTTTACCACTGTAAATGATGAATTTCATTAATCCTTATTTGAGGTGTTTTATTTTATTAGTTATTCTAGTGTCTATTGCTCCATACAAACAGTTAAGTATTATTAGAAGTTATTTGTCTTCAATTCCTTAAACATCTTTCTTGCTCAGTGCATGTGGTGCTTGTTTTTCTATGTGTCTTATTAGTTTAAATGTACTATATTCTTATGTATAATGAATCATTTTTTTAGCTCTGGCTAGAAGTGTTGTGAAAGTTGGTTTTCGGAAGGACACTCTCAGTAAGTTAATCAACGGCAGGGAAGCAGATATTAAAATGTTTCTTGATAATGTTTTCCAGCCAAAAGTTCAAGAAAGTTTAGAAAATTACATTCAAATGCTCAAGAAAAAATAACTCTATTTCAATGTATAATTTAGATTATGTTTTGTTTTTAGATATTTATGATTTTGTTTATCTTATAAAAGAAAAATAAATCAAAAAATAATTTTATTGTTTTAAAAATAAATATAGTTATTTTAGTGATAATTATTTTTAAAATATTTTGTCATATGTTTTTATATTTTTTTTTATTAAATAGAGGACTGTTTTAATTTTGATCATTAAAATATTTTATAAACAATCTCTGTAAAAATTTATATATTTTTTAAAAAAATTGTTATATTTTTATGAATTTCATAACTGTGACTGTCTATTGTTATATATATTTTTTATAAATATTGTCTATATAAAAAGAAAAATCTATAATATATTCTCTGCTCTGATGTTTTATTTTTTATGTTAATTACATAACACATATAATGCTGATTGGCTTTTAAGCTATATTTAATTAAAAAAAATTACATGCTTCCCATTAAAAATTCATTCTAAAATCCTTGATATATATATTTTTTATAATTACATGACTATTCTTTAAATAATTACATTGAGATAATATCTCTAATGCCTAAGAAAAGCAAGAACCTACACAATTTTGTATCTACTATCAAAAAGTTAAGTTAACTATATAAATAGTTCTTAAATATTTAGATAACACTTGCAAAGACGTGACAAGAGTGTATTATATGAGGGTATGTAAAAAAATAAAGAAAAATTGAAAATATCGTTATATTTATTGTACTTGCATAAATGATACTAGCTAGCATTACTTTTCAAATATTCCCTTCGGGAAGAAGATTTAGAAACTTGAGGTTTAGAAACTTTTGCACCTCTTTAAAGCCTCTTCATCAGATTAATAATGACTCCTCCGCTACTCCTATTTTAATGGGCTAAAAAGATGAGCTACTTGGAGCCAAGTTTGGACGATATAACAAGTCATCCAGCCGCTGAAAACAAGGATTTTGAAGGCACAGGACTGTGTTTTTAACTGCCTTTTTGGCCATACGCGAACAGGCATTATCTTGAAGTAAAATCATGCCTTTGATTTTTTAATTCAATAAAAAAAGTAGCTCATAGTAGCTGTCACTATTTATTGTTTGAAATCCAACAAAATTGGGTCTTGCATATTCTAGAATATTGTCGTCCTAACGTTTCTTGCAGACATATGGGTTTTTTTTTATATGAAAGATGAAGGATGTTCCCACACCAAACATTGTCGCTTACTCCCTGGTTCAAAGTGATGGACCCACGTCTCAACGGTTATTATTTGCTTAAGAAATAAGCCTCCTTTTTTTTTTTTTTTTGTATCGTTCCAAGTACTTCTGAGAAAGTTTCAAAGTATTGCCTTTGTGGCTGCTGGTCTATTGACATGGAACGTGGGTTGTTAAATCAAGGGATGTAAAGCTAAATAAATGTGATATTCAATCTTTTTATTTTTTAAAATAAGAACTTCGTACATAGCAAGAACTAAAATGGCTGTCACTACTTGCTTTTAGATTCTCTCCAAATCATTAGTATTCCAAAATAATATGATTTTTTCTTACCTTAAAACGATTGTTGTAATGCTTTGAAACACTGAGTACACCTTTTGAGCAGTCCAAGGTATGTCTGATCACCAAAGTAAGGAAAGCAAACTTCTGGAAATCGGCTATATACAAGATAATTGGCAAGTCAATTGGCAAATATGTATTTATTATTTTGATTTTTTTTTTAATGAAAGAAATTGAAAAAAAAAATATTTTTATTAGTTTGGGACTAAGTCCCTTTATAACAAATTAAATGTGTATCACATAATGGCTAAAACAGTGTGATCATACTGTTTTGTACTTCATGCATTTATATATTTTTTATTTTATTAAGGATTATATCTATTATCTTTCAATTAAAAAAAAAAAACTTTTTTTGAAGAGGCAAATAAAACAATAAAAAAAATATATTATAAAATAAAAACCTGGACAAACAACAAAAGTAATATAAAGTATTTTGAGTAACATTTGAAATCAAATAATATACAATTTAACAAAGAATTATATTAATCAGATAGAATAAGGAAAATGAGGAGATTTGAACTAAGAAATTTAATCCCTGACATAGTAGGAGGGAAAGGCAGAGGGAGGTAGCACAGGTTAGTAAGGATTTGTCAAAATAGAAATTAAAGACAGAAGAACGAAATTAAATAGAAGATTTAAATTCAAGGCTTTGTATAATACTGGGTTATATGCCAATCCCTGGCTGTTCCAAAAACATATCTTACTAAGCAGTGCATAAATCTTTTAAATCTTGCTTCACTCACAGCTCAGCAGAGTCCGCCATACACCAGACAGCTAGAGTCAAAATTGGAGAAATGAAAGAGGGGACTAAGAATTGATTTAGTCATATCCTGAATCCGCTACTGATGATTGGTCAGGGTTTCTACTATGATATCGGTGGAGTTTTATATTAACAAATAAATGGGATCACACTAGATAGCATCAAAATCAGGCAGCAGGGTTTCATAAATGAGGGACTTAAGATTTCAGAATGATATGATCTGAGGAGAAAAGAGTGCAACAACAATATTGTAGGAAATCTAGATATGTTCATAAGCAGATAGAAATGGAACTGTGTTGTGATGAGGTATCTGAGGAATCCAGTTTATACAGATTGAGCCCAAAACTGGGTGTGATGGTTTTGGCTATAGGATACTTTTCAAGTGTGAGAAAGTGGAGATTTGTTAGATAAGCGTGATTAGGAGAAAGCATCAGTAAATTAATGTTAAAGTCTCTGGAAAAGATATAATTGGAATAGCAAATTATGTTGTAAAGGATGGTCTCAAATAATTCATAGAAGGTTACTGTAGGAGGGTGGTAGATAATACCAAAATACCCAAGGTGCAAGAAATTGGAATATGATTCACTCTGTCTTGGCGAGAAAAGTAGAGTTTAGTAGGAAAACCTGGAAGAGCAGGAGATTGTGACTAGAATTAAATGGTAGAAGTTGTAGAGGAAATAGAAATATAACTCATCAAAATAGGTCCCCACAATCTGTGATAGGTTAATAGAATGTTAGTCATGAGAGAAGGAGGATTGGCATAATGAACTGATGGGCTGTATATGCCCATGCATAAAGCCAAAAAAAAAAAATACTGATGGCATTGGCTTAAAATGCTGCCTGTATTCTAACGAATGGTGTTATTGATTGAAGTCTGCTGCATTCAATATTGAACCTACTCTTTCCAATATAATAATTTCTTTTTGAATATTGAAAAGCATGATATCTTCTCTAATTTTATATTCCGTAACATTTTCTGAAAAATCTAAAATTATTTATCTTTCTTGTAAAAAAAGTCTACTGTTGTATAAAAAACAATGTTAATAATTACTTATAATATAATCATTTTTCACTACTCTGGACAATACCTCTTAAGTTTATACTAAAAAATGGATCTTTTTTAACACTCTCAGTCCAGATAGTTCTTCTGGAAGGACTCAGCAGTCTTTCAGCATGGTCCGGTGGTCCTTTGGGAAGCTCTGTGTTCCATATCCCTTCCTATTCCAGAAGCTCATACATGATAGGGATAAACTTTTTCTATTTTGTGTCATTAACTGTTGCCTTCAGTACCCTTTTATCTTTAAAAGGACTTATTTCGTTTTTGAATCCTCTATATAGAAATTGGATTGTGAATTTTTAAAATATAATTTTTTTAAGGAAATATTTTATACTTAAAAATTACCAAGATAGACTGAGAGGTGTTCTCAGAAAATGAAGCTTTTACTGAAAGTGTTAAGAAATGGAAAAAGACTACGATGACCACAGAATGATATATTTTGCTGTCATTTTAGTATTTTTTTATCAGAAAACAAGTCAACTTCCTTCTCCTTTCAATATCTTGATTGTCTTTGAAATTGGAATAGAAGCATAGGACCACCTTTTTTCACTTCTAAGTTTCACAATCTTAGCTTGAATATTTTTATTCAGTTTATTCACAACTCTGGAAGAAAAGCTCCAATATACTTCAAGATTTTTATTTTAAACCGTCAAGCTTTGGATAACGAGGGATGTTATTTGTTTTATTGTTTAAACCCCAGTCTAATTTATTATTCCTCATAAACTGTATAAGTTCTCTGTACAAGTCTGAAGGGATATTGAGATTCTTTATTATATAAATATTTTTTCCTTTCAGAATTTAATTAATGTTTCTTAAGAAATAAATTATTAAAATAAAAAATTTCATAGATTTTTCCTTCATTTTAATTTAGTTTTTGTTTTTTTCCTTTTAGTTTGTTTCAAGAGAAGCTATAAAAATTATCATTCAGGAAAGAAACACTAATCGGCTTGTGAGCGCTTAGAAGCAGATATTAATTACTCTGTCGATTTCATGTTAAGGCCCGAAGTGCAAAGGAGTATGGAAATGTTTCTAAACATGAAGAAACAATCTAAGTAAAACAAGAAAAAATCTAAGAATGATGTGATTGTCAAATTTTAAACGCTTAAATTGTTTCATTCCAGCTGCATTTTTTTTAATATATCTGTATAATATTTAATAATAATAATGTATTAAAAGACTGTTATTTACATGGCTTTGGCTTTATAACTGAAGCATTTTGACCAATTATCTATATATAGTATTTTTTGAATTTGTTAATATATTTTTATACTTTTTTTAATTTTGTTTATATTTCTTACACATTATATTTACTTAATTGTTATGAATTTATTATAAATATCTTTAGATTAAAAGAATGTTATTTTATTGTCTATTTTTAAAATACACTGCTTTAATAATTTAAAAAATATATTTTTTTACCACCTTTTTTGTTTCTTACATGTTTTCATCTTTAGTAATTAAAAAAAAGTTGTCAAATTTTTTTGGGCAGCATAATGCACCGCAGCCTTGGAGATCTATTGTTTGCCATAGGTATGCTGTTATTTACTAAAATGTTAGTTTGGTTGCTTCTGTAAATCTTAATAAACCTATAGGACTGATAAGCACAGAGCATTTGGGATCAACCAATCATTCCTCATCAAACAGCTCGAGCCTAAGCATAACTCACCTATCATACCGACAGATAATGTGAAAGGCTCTTCCATTCTTTTCTTGACAGAATGGACACAAGATATTGCTTACAGTGATAGTTTAGGGTTATTAGAGGGACAGTTTAGCTTACAGTGGCTTGTATAGATAGTTGTGAGCTTTTTAATAGCTGCTCTATCCAGCATAATTAGTAGCTTGCTCCTTTTATCGTAAGACCCTTCAAGGAACAGCTTTCAAAGACATTTTACTGTATCGGACCAGTACTGTTTGAATTTAGCACCATATATTTCTCTGACTCTCTTTTTGGCAAAGCTGAAGCTGATACCACATACTGGTTCAGGGATCATGGGAATGGTTTATGAGTCAATCTTGGCTAGTTTGTCGGCTTCCACGTTGCCGCCTAGAATCCCTGAGTGACCTGGTGCCCATTCAACGGCAATCTTATTATGCATAGCAATATTGTTTAGATTTCCACTGGAATCTTTAACACCTTACGAATAAATATAGTAATTCTTTAAAGCCCCTAATTCTGTCTTATTATTATTCTTTTACCAGTCAGTTTCATGTGCAGTAGATTAAAGGCAAATTACCAGTACTTCAGATTGGAACAAGGGTCTCCAAACTATGGCCTGCGGTCCATAACAAGTGTACTCTGATCCTGCCCGCAAAAGTTCCTTTGATTAGATGGTAAAATTTTACAGACTATTTATATGGAATTTGGTAAATCACACAAGGTTACTACAACATTTATTGTATGCTTTATTTTTCTTAGAAACTTCATTTCACAATTGAAGTGTCATTTATAGAAGAAACATTTTTTTTTTCATCACAATTCATGGCCTGCTGTTGTGATGGTCTTAATGCGACCCATTGGACTTAATGGAGGTCATAATGTGGCTCGTGAGTCCCGGTTGGAGTCCCCTAGATTGAAATACTACTCTATGGGAGGTATACTATTCAAGGAAAGGAACTGTTATTAGAACAATTTTCTTGTTTGTTAAACTTATAGAATGTTCTAGAGGCTTGGGCTTCAACCTCTAGCTGCAGTGGGGCGTGCTAAGCATAACTAACCTCCATAACGGCTGTTGAAATGGAATTCATTGCTCCTGTTATCATTAGACATGTTAGTCTCTGTAACTTCTCTAGTAGAGTTTAGTTTGCTCCAGTCTTTGCTTTGTGCCACCAAAGCAGAGCAAAGGATGATATTAGAGTTCAGGAAAATATTTGTAGAACTTTCAGTATAACAAAAGGAGTGAAACAAGGAGAGTCGTGATAAGGACAATATGCACAAACCTATAGATATGTGTGCATATATATAATTGGCTCACTCAGTATCTGGCCTTTGCTGTCAACGTAGTGATACTGGCAGAACATCAAAAGCTTTTCTTGGAACATTGGAAGAAAATGGACAAACATTGAAAAATATAGGTCGGAAGATTATTGTCTCAAAGAGTAATATGGAGTCAACCTTAAATATTATAATATAGACACTTGGATCACTTTTTGGTAGAGCCACTTTCTAATAAATTGATAAAAACGCCAACACCAGCTGTATGGACATAAAATATAAGAAAAATATGTTTGACCTATAACATGGCAAAATTTATGTAATCTCTGAATACAAATACGCCCTCGACAACTTGTCCTCAGCTATCACTGGTCAATCCTTTAAAGCCTAATAAGCTTTTAAACACCATTTTTTTCATACAAATCATGAATATTTTTTTTTTTTTGCCATATCTTCAACATGACTAATCACATTAATAAAGCTTTCATAATTTAGTAAGTAATTAAGCTTTTAACATTTTCTTTTTATTATTGAAGTTTGGAGAGGAAAAAAGAATGAAATAATAATTAGTTAGTCATTTACCCTTTGTAATAATCAGGAAACTAGTCCTCTGCTATCATTGGTCAATTCCATTAAGGAGTTATCTTGTTTCATCTTGAGGGCAGACTTATATCCATCTGTCACATAAGGCTAAAAAAAAAAATAGTGTTATTATGAATCAAATTAAACTATTATTTTACATTGTCCAGTAGAGCTTCAACCTCCATTTTTTAAATAACAAGTTAAGGAAGACCCTAGTGGGCAGAGTTTAAGCTGGGAGATTATGATCAACCTTAGTTCAAAACAACTTGAATTTTTTTAACATTGTAATTTGCTACAAATTCTTTCAATCTTTTGCACAGATTACTATTTTAATTACAAAAGGCCCCATACACATTAAAAGGATCTCCCTTAAGTTGGTTACTTATGTAAGACATTCAATTTAATAAATAACACTATGTACCTCACAGGCGGATTTATGGGGAGGGCTTTTGGGCTGAAGCCCTCCCTCTCCCCCCCAAAAAAATGATAAAGTGTAAGCATGTTTTACAGAAAAAAATATTAAAAACTATCTCTTAAAGTATTCTTGTCTGTTTAATTACATTTAATAGGACTTCAGGAACCACTTAAACACCATTTCATATAGGCAGTTAATTTCTTTATTTTTTTTCAAATTAATTATCGTTATATGTATATGAAAAAAAAATCTTTCGGGCTCAAGCCCCCAAAATTAAATCCTGGATCCACTAGTGGTGTACTTTACTCCATCAATGACATAGACCTTTCCTCAACTTCCTTCAACATTCATATATACATTAGCAACAGACTTTTCAACTCTCTCATGGACAGTTTAATATTATTTATAACAAATTTATAAAAATATGTTGTGAGTTATAGGGAAAATAAAATTCCCCAACCAACTGAGTTTTTAGTTTCTCAAGAATTCTAGGCATTTCTGTCTTGTCTAACATTATTTACTTAAGAAGATTTTGGAAATAAAAAAAAAATCTATAGGGGTAAACTTAGCATGCTTGCATGATCAATATAGAACATGTTAAAATGTCTCTTCTGTTTAAATAAATATTTTTTAACTTTCAAAAATAGCTGTTCTTCAATAATGGTGCATAAAAACTGTGACACCCTTCATTTAATTTTGTTGTTCTTAGACATGATTAAGCCATTTATAACTATTTATTTTCGATTGTTTTTGTGTTAACATCAAAAGCTTTTCTTGGAACATTGGAAGAAAATGGACAAACATTGAAAAATATAGGTCGGAAGATTATTGTCTCAAAGAGTAATATGGAGTCAACCTTAAATATTATAATATAGACACTTGGATCACTTTTTGGTAGAGCCACTTTCTAATAAATTGATAAAAACGCCAACACCAGCTGTATGGACATAAAATATAAAAAATATGTTTGACCTATAACATGGCAAAATTTATGTAATCTCTGAATACAAATACGCCCTCGACAACTTGTCCTCAGCTATCACTGGTCAAATCCTTTAAAGCCTAATAAGCTTTTAAACACCATTTTTTTCATACAAATCATGAATATTTTTTTTTTTTTGCCATATCTTCAACATGACTAATCACATTAATAAAGCTTTCATAATTTAGTAAGTAATTAAGCTTTTAACATTTTCTTTTTATTATTGAAGTTTGGAGAGGAAAAAAGAATGAAATAATAATTAGTTAGTCATTTACCCTTTGTAATAATCAGGAAACTAGTCCTCTGCTATCATTGGTCAATTCCATTAAGGAGTTATCTTGTTTCATCTTGAGGGCAGACTTATATCCATCTGTCACATAAGGCTAAAAAAAAAAATAGTGTTATTATGAATCAAATTAAACTATTATTTTACATTGTCCAGTAGAGCTTCAACCTCCTTTTTTAAATAACAAGTTAAGGAAGACCCTAGTGGGCAGAGTTTAAGCTGGGAGATTATGATCAACCTTAGTTCAAAACAACTTGAATTTTTTTAACATTGTAATTTGCTACAAATTCTTTCAATCTTTTGCACAGATTACTATTTTAATTACAAAAGGCCCCATACACATTAAAAGGATCTCCCTTAAGTTGGTTACTTATGTAAGACATTCAATTTAATAAATAACACTATGTACCTCACAGGCGGATTTATGGGGAGGGCTTTTGGGCTGAAGCCCTCCCTCTCCCCCCCAAAAAAATGATAAAGTGTAAGCATGTTTTACAGAAAAAAATATTAAAAACTATCTCTTAAAGTATTCTTGTCTGTTTAATTACATTTAATAGGACTTCAGGAACCACTTAAACACCATTTCATATAGGCAGTTAATTTCTTTATTTTTTTTCAAATTAATTATCGTTATATGTATATGAAAAAAAAATCTTTCGGGCTCAAGCCCCCAAAATTAAATCCTGGATCCACTAGTGGTGTACTTTACTCCATCAATGACATAGACCTTTCCTCAACTTCCTTCAACATTCATATATACATTAGCAACAGACTTTTCAACTCTCTCATGGACAGTTTAATATTATTTATAACAAATTTATAAAAATATGTTGTGAGTTATAGGGAAAATAAAATTCCCCAACCAACTGAGTTTTTAGTTTCTCAAGAATTCTAGGCATTTCTGTCTTGTCTAACATTATTTACTTAAGAAGATTTTGGAAATAAAAAAAAAATCTATAGGGGTAAACTTAGCATGCTTGCATGATCAATATAGAACATGTTAAAATGTCTCTTCTGTTTAAATAAATATTTTTTAACTTTCAAAAATAGCTGTTCTTCAATAATGGTGCATAAAAACTGTGACACCCTTCATTTAATTTTGTTGTTCTTAGACATGATTAAGCCATTTATAACTATTTATTTTCGATTGTTTTTGTGTTAATCATTTCTACAATTTTTCAATTGTAGGTTGGGTAGTGGTTTTAGAGTGATAAATTGCTAGATTATTACGCCTGTGTTCAAAATTTTTCAAATTATCTTCAATTGTATAAACATTTCATCGTAATTTAAGGGAAAACGAAAACTTTATCATTATTTGTTAAAAACACAGATCTTTCAATCAAAGGAGTCGGATTTCACGCTATTTTTAATTACAATGACTTTATCATTCATTGTTGAAAATGCAGTTTGTACGTTTGCGTCGTTTAAGCTGGAGGAAAATTTTAATTCTTTTGACAATATTTTCTCCTATTCATTAGTCGCATAGCGTATGTAGAAAAACGAGTACTATTTTACACAAAGGTTCACCTATTTCAAACACTCATTTCTTTGAAGAATCGTTAACGAATGTATGCCTGCCATCCTGCATCCACAAGAATTTAAAATGGTAAGCTTCGCCCAAAATGGTAAAATGTAACCATGTTTTATGGTAAAAAATATCTGTTAAAGTATTATTATTCGTGTAATTACATTTAATAGGACTTCAAAAATAACATAAACGCCATTTCATATATGTAGATAGTATTTCTTTTTTTTTTTTTGAGTAGTCGTTATTTATATATATGTAACAACAAACCTGAAGCCCCACCAAAAATGAAATCCTGAATCCGCCAGTGGGAGGAAATTAGTTATAAATCCAAAGTGAGATTTTCAAGCGAAATCTGTTTCTGTCAAGAATTAAAGGACATGGAAGTGACGAATAAGTAACAGATATAAATTTGGTTCTGAATTATGTTCGTAATCGACCGTTGAAACGCAATGTTTCAACTTTGTCTCAATCCCTAAGTTATTTGAATAATACTAAAAAAATAACTGGCTTGCCTTTGCATAGACCCGCCACTATATCCGCTTATAATAATTTTAAAATTAACGAGTAAGATAAAAATTGAGCTATCATGCATCAAGTTCCCTCTAGTTAAAAGATACCCTGACCAATCTGGAAAATGTTCTTCCATGACTTTAATAATGTCTTATTTTCTTATTCCGGCAAATGTCTTATTTTTGCCTTATTCAATACTTTCTTTGTTATTTACCTCATTATGAATATCATATCCTGTGTACTTCTCTAAACCCAATAGTCGTTATGGTACCATTTTTAATATTGGTTTACAAGTTTTACCATGTTTCAGAACGACCCTCAGCTGCTCATTTGAACAAGATTCGAGCAAATTCAGGAAAATAACGCTTTATTTTTTTTTTTTTATATTCATAATTTTTAAATATTCATAAATAAATTTTTAAGATATGAAAAAGAACTTGTAGTAAGATATAATAAAGAATTACTTGTTTTAAGTAAAATACATTTTTCTTTAAATTACTATTAATGTTAGTATAATTTAACTATCAGTATTCATAATAATGTTAAGTAGCTTAAACTATTTCAGTTAAGATACTAAATCACACCGTTCATCTTCTCATTTCATTTTTCCTAATATCCGAATAACCTTATCTCATAGACAACGCTTTCTTTTCTTTTTAAACTATAAATAAATTGTTATTTATTAATTAGTTTACGGTGTCAGAATATGATAAAAGTATGTAATAATATTCATTATAAATTGAAATATTTTTTATTTCCTTATTTGTATTATTTACAGGGATATCTAGAATGGGATTTATGGCGTTAGTTGCTTCATCGATAGTTTTGGGAGGAGCACATTTTTACAGGGATTTGAATTTTTGCGGGGGCACGTTTCGAAGGAGTAATAAATTTTTAAAAGTTTCATACCAAGAAACTAGTAGAAGAACATGTAACAACCCACGTCGACTGTAATTGCATATGATCTATAACTATTCTAATTGTACTTTTTCAAAAAGAGGAGAGCAATAAAATGTCTTGGAAGGGGTGGTAATTTATGCACCATTAACTATGGGAGGAGGGGGCACCCTGCATATTTGTTTGACAAACTTTCTGACATAATACGTTTTTTATTTTTTAGTAAAATCCTCCACCCAACATCTCGCTCTCTTCTGCCACCTCGGAAACATTTCAACTTAGAATATGAGGAATTAATTATATACAGCAAGAATCATCCAAAAAAAGTAACTTGTTTTTATATGTTCGATGTAAACTTCATCAACCTGAAATAATTAACGAAGGAATACATGATAATTTATTATTATTATTTGAACTGTAAAAACAAGTATTATTATTTAAATTAAAGATGAAATCGATTTATCTTATAACTGATAGTGGTAAAATAA